CCCCCTCCAGAGTTGCATGTCCTAGGGGATGAGAGGCAAATCAAGTTCCTCCCTACACATGTTACTGACTGCTAATCCCCCAGAACTGTCGCTTAGATGTGAACCCTTTGATGCCAAGATGCTGACACCTGTGAGCTGACCATCATGAAGCTCCAACTGTTCCAATCCTTTCAACACCATTACCAACATGAAGTTGCTGCTGATGTTTGTCTTTTCCTTTATTAATTTCAATCAACCAATTTTAACTTAGCTATATGTGCAAATATTTCAAAACAATTTTATTTTTCTTTAATAAATGTTATAGAATATTTGGGTTTTTCCTGATTTCTTTATTAGAATATTTTTTGACCTTTTTTAAAGGTCAACACCCATGTATAATTTCCAAATATGACAAATGATACATCATTGGAAAGCTCTGTTGCTCTACTTTTTGAATCTGTAAAAAAAACTTTGCAAAGAAATTGACTTTTATACAAACTATGATGTTCTCTTCCCTATATCTTTGCAATCCATTGTCATAGACCTTTGATATCTCAAATTATAAATTCTGTAAGATTAAAAAGCCTGAGTTTGAAATATCTAATGTGTAAACTATTAGGTTGACAAGAAAAAGGGATTAGAAGAATTAAGTTTGTTGCAAAAACTCAGTTCCTTTGTAAAAATGGCAATTTTTTTTTGCAAAATCCAGTTATATAGTAAAAAATATTTGCAAAAAAATAATAATATAAAATGATACAATATACATGAAAAGCCATTGACCATCCCATTTCAAAGATGCAAAAAATTTTGCAAAGTTTTAACACTATTACATTGTGTGGGAGTCAGTGTGTATCCGAACCTTGCAAAGGAAGGGTGTCAGCAGAGCTTTCTAAGCCTGTTGAGAGAAAGGGCGCTATGTGCGTTGTACTTGTATAGAAGTCTAGATATCAAGGTCACTTCTCTCCACAACTGAGTGGAAAGCGTGACTAATCCCGAAAAAGATATAGTAATAAAGATGTATACAGAAGGAATACAGAAACTCAAAACTTCAGGGATGAAGTACACGCTGATACAGGTTTTAAGGGGGAACAGAGCCTTCAATAGACTTTAAATCAAATACCATAAACTGGTTTTTCACCCTTCTCAAAATGGAAACTGGATTACTCATGGAAGACCTCTGACAATGATAGGCAAAAGACACACTCCCCGTGTTTTAAAGCGATGGGACAGCATGCTTAGCGGGTTATTTTTTCTTTAAAAAATCTGTCCACGTGGGAATACACGTTAAAAGTGAGGACTATGGTATATCTCATACCTGTTACCCTAACACCCCCATCCTCATCCTCCTACCTCCTAAATTCCAACCTTATCCTACTTCACGAGCAGATATAGTGGAACTCAGAAACTGCTTTGCTGTGGAATCTTAATCAAAACTTTCTGAGAGAGATCATCATTGGTTTCATGGGTGTTCCTTTCCTAGGGGGTACACCCAAATCACCTTGAACCTAGCCGAATGCAGTTAAGGCTAGGAGGTCTTTTAATTTCTTTCTAAATTACTGCAAGACACTGATACATGTAATGCAGCTGACAAAGGGAAGTTCTCGTTACAGCAATGTCAGCAATAAACCTGCATAGATGGCCGATATCAAAAACAACTGGAATAAATATAGAAACTCAAGAGCTGATATTGAAATACTACAAATTGCCTGATCAGCTCTCGAAACTGCATATTAACCCTCCTCCTGGGGGGGCGGGGGTATGCAGCTAATTGAATGAGCAAAACAGGACAGCCAGGATCAAGAAGATTGGAAAAATGAGTGTCAGCATTCTGCATTAAATACATGTATCAATTAATTTGTTTCGTAAAAAAATTATAAATAAATAAATTGATGAAGTTAAAAACATTGTGTGGGAGTGTTTACACCCCCCCCCCTTACATTAGAATGCTGAAACTTCTTCTCTTTTTCTACATAATAGTTTAAACAAATTTTACTCATACATTTTTTTTGATGCATAGGGTAGGGTGGAGGACGGTTAAAAGGCAGGTTGGTGTTTCAAAAATCAGAAATGGTTAATAACTTTTTTATTAATTAAGCTAAAGGGCTAAGACTTAAAAATTTGAAAAGCCCTTGAAAAATGCATATAATTATATGTACCACATTTAATATTTGTCAAAATTTAATGACCAGACCTCGGAAAGTTGGACTAGGGACATGTATTACACTCCCCTATCTCAACTCTAAGGGCAAAATCATGGGGGGGGTGGTGGAAAACCCGCCCCCCATGAAACCCCAACTACCGTCTGTTTTATAGAGACCCCAACCCCACCATTAAAGCTAAATCCGAATGGCAACTACCCTCACTACCCCCAACTACCGTCTGTTTTTTAGAGAGATCCCACCCCCACCCTTGAAGCTGAATCTAAATGGCAACTACCCTTACTACCCCAACTACCTTCGGTTTTTAGAGAGATCCTATCCCCACTCTTACCTTGGTTTTATTCTATCGCAGTGTATACAATATGGGTATCGATTCCCACTATATCAATTGTTTTCAGCTAGTTTTGGCATTCTTAACACTCACCGACCTCTGCTATCCGCCCTACCCCCCTTCTGAAGGGTACACAGTTCAAAGTTGAAAAACGGGGTTTTTATACTTACTAGATCAAACGTCCTCCGGGGTGTTTAGGGTTAAGGTACATAAATGAACCTATAGAAAACATTTTCTAAATCGCAAAACAATGCTAGGTTTAATAAATATCTCAGATCTGGGACTAGGTAATAAATATCTCAGATCTGGGACTAGGTTTAATAAATATCTCAGATCTGGGACTAGGTTTAATAAATATCTCAGATCTGGGACTAGGTTTAATAAATATCTCAGATCTGGGACTAGGTATAATAAACATCTCAGATCTGGGACTAGGTTTAAAAATATCTCAGATCTGGTACTAGGTTTAATAAATATCTCAGATCTGGGACTAGGTTTAATAAATATCTCAGATCTGGGACTAGGTTTATGCTCGATCTCTTGAGAGATAAAGGTATTTTTAAAAGATATTAGCTACAGCATCCCATTTCTTTTTACTTTAGGGTACACCATTTACTATTGGGTTTCTCTCTGTTTGGATCCTGAACTTCACTTTTTACTCCAGGGTACACCATTTACCAAGGATTCTAAACTTAATTTTTTTAAGTAAAAATTATTTTTCAAGAATAAACAGAAAACTGAATGAAAGTTTAACTAAAGCATAAAGAAATAAAAAAATGTCCCAAAACATAGCAGCATAACAGCATAACAGCTGTGAAGATCGTTTTCAAAATTACATAATTTCAAAATGTATGCGATTATTTTTATCTTTCTTTGGCAAATCCTCATTAAAAAGTACTTAGCCTACCATGTTGAGGTCAATTTTGAAATTTTAAATTGTCAAAGTTTCAATTTTTTCAGGTAAATAATAATAAAAATTAAAACTTAAAATACATTTAGACATATTATGTTGATGTTTATTACTTCTACTAATTTCTTATACTTAAATATGAAAAGTTATATGATAAACCTCTAACATAAATTTAAGTAAGGTTTTAACAAATGGAATTAAAAAATACTAATATAAGAAGTTTTATTTGATTTAGGTAAGTTGAGGATTTCAATGTTTTGTATAACCTCTGACTCCCACAGTTGAAAGTGTCTCAAAATCTTTACAGAAATAGATAATATTGTAGACGGAATATTCAACGTCATAAGTATTTTTATAGGAATGATATGTTTTGCATAATAATCACTTATATATATTTTTCTTTTTTCTTTTTATATTTTTATACCTACTGTTTTCAACATTTTAAAGTAAAAACTGATAAATACTGATAAAGCATACTGTTTGCACATCAAAGGTCCTATAAAAGAAATTCAATTTGTCTACAGGTTCAGTTTCTAAAGATGGATTTTAAAATAATCTTTGTTCTTTGTCTTTCTTTTGCTGCAACTTTGGCTTCCCCGCTGAATGAAGGTATTTTTTTAGTTAACCCAATTTTATTTAAAAACAATATTTAAGGCTTTAGTTTTGCAAGCAAATCTTGTATATATCAAATATTGAATTTTTACAATTAAAATAAAAATGGATTGCATCTACTGTATGAAAAGCTATTTCAGGGGAAGAAAGTTCAAAACTGTGATTTGTCACTGAGTGTCAGGTTTTGGTGAAATGTGCAAAAATATCAGTTATCAATCATATTTTTCAATTTAAGTCAAGAAGAAATACTTTCATTCAGAATAGTTTTAACAGCCTCAAACAAATACTTTTTGAATTATGTTAGGAAGTAAATGCAAAGTTTGGGCGCAAAACATGTTTAGGAACATTTGGCGATTTAAAATTTCCCAGATTTTAATTAATGATACTTTTCAAGCATTTAAACAATTTGGTAACAAAATAAACTTTTGTATACTGTTTAAATTTAAATAATGAAACAATTAAAATGTAAAAAAAATATATTCTTTTCTGATATTTTAAAACTTAATGAACTATTACATGACAAATTTTGTTCATTTCCATTGAAAAATTAAAAACATTTCCAGAGGGAAGTTATTGTGTTCATAAGTCACACTTGAAACCAGAAAATTGCCAAAATAAAACTCTGTAGGGCGCCAAAGTGGATATTACGTCCCAGGACTTTGAAAGAAAAGCTCATTTAAAGATTTTTTTTAGATGTTTGTTTTTGGTTGGAGATTTATGGAATAAACACATTTTTGCTGACCCCTCCACCCCCCACCCCCCATTAACACACTATGGGGCTGGGGAAAAGATTTAATAAATGATTTACTAAGGTCTATAAAAATTAACTGTATACTGTGAAACCATCATATTTTTCAGCAGAAGTTAAAGCTGACCTTAGATGTCCCCACTATGGGTATGGCTGTGATGGTGAAGTTCTAATGGATTCGTATGTCAAGTAATAGCTTTTTAATTTGTTTTTACAGAACCTTATATTCATGTTTTAATTGTTGGGCTAAAGATGTACTTTTTTTTTAAAGAAAACTTTTTGCTTTAGCCATTGACCTGTTATCCTTAACAGGTTGGGGCTTATGCATATTTAAGGTTTACAACATAGTTCAATATTTACTTATGCAAAATTATTTTTATTTCACGTAATTTCGCAGAATTAGGCGTAATTAGCGAAACTTTAATTTTGCAAAATTAACTTGTAATTTTGGGTAATAACTACAATGTAATTTTGCAAAATTTTCAAATAATTATGTGTAATTAGCAAAAGTTCAATTTTGCAAATTTTGGTGTAATTTTGCGAAATTTTGGAATTATTGTGCCTTAATTACAGGAAACTAGACCCTCTGTTGTATAAATAATATACATGTAATTTTGTATAATTCTTGGGCTTAAAAGAAAGAAATTGGTACACATATTACTTATTACTTATTACACTAATTACAATTGGTAACCTATGCATACTGTTGTTTATTGGGCATTAGGGAGAAAATCAATTAAAATTATTCAAAAATCAACAACAACAATCTTCAGCTGTCTGGCTTATGAAGTTTTGTTGTTATAGTTACTTTTGACCAAATTTAAGCCTTTTTGACGCCAGGTATTGCTGAAAAGTAGTGCTTTACCGAAGCCAGTGCCTAGACAGTAGACATTCATTATTATTGAACAGTATATTAACTTTTTTCAGAATTACAATTTGCTAATGTAACTATAAGGAAGTGAAAAGAATAACAATATATTTTTTTGTAATTCAAATTTGATTTAAAATCTTTATTTTTTTTTAGTGATTGGGAAATTTGTGCTCTTAACTGTTTGGAGGAGAGGGTAAAACTAAATTTTATAAACTGTAGCATGTTTAATTTGTATTATATGTGGTATTAACTAAGTTTTACTTTTTATTTTGTTTTTTAATCTGTTTTTAAACTCTTAGATGTCTGTAAATATTGAAAAGAAATTTGTGGCTCTTTTCATATAGTATTGTAACACCAATATTTGACATTTCTAGAAACTATTCTTGAATAAAAAAAACTCTATATTTGATTTCATATATTCTAAAATGATGCTATTTTCAAAAGAAAAATGTTTATCACTTTTCTCTTACTATTCTTTTTAGTGCAAAGCCAATAATGGACTCTCGGTTTAACACCATTTAAAGTGAAAATAATTTTAAAATTGAGTCAGTCTGAAATTTTAGCTTTTGATATTTAATTTAGTCCTGTGTTTACTGGCATTGGGATACATTGGATCATCCTGACTTTCCTGGTCGGTGCTACCTAATGGTAATAAAAACTTTGATAGTTACCAAATTTATAATATGTTAAATCCAAAATAAATTTTTTTTGGAAATTAGAAGGGATGACCAAATCAGCCTTTTGACAATAATATACCCTACCCTATTCATTAAAAAAGATTAATATTTCGTAAAAATTAAGAAATTTAAGTTGTACATGTAATTTCAAAGGTTAGCAAGAAAAAAGGCTGTTTGAGCTAATTTGTTTTCAATTTTTCTTTTTTTGTAATTCTCACATTTTTTAGTCAAATATTTAATATAGAGTTGTTAAATTATGAATTTTAAAAATTAAAGGTTTACACCATCAGCTGGCTAAGTTCCTTTATATTCAATTAACTTTAAATTTGAAACAACATATTTTTTGTGATTAGGGTTCATGTACTGTAAAACAGGGGTACCAATGGATCTCTGGAAATTATGACTGCTACAACAACCATTGTACTCACTGAAGATGGAAGAGTTTAAAATCGTCATTTATAATTATATTGACAAAACTTTATTGGAATGGAATTACAAACTTTTTTCAAATACTGTTTCTTTTTCTCAAGATTTTCCCTGCTTTTTTTGTGATATTAAAACCACATTTTAGTTTCACTAAAAAAACATGCTGAAAATTTTAGAGTAGTGTAATAATAACTGTTATTATAATTCAATTTATTGTATTTTCAAAAATAAAAGTAAAACACAAAAGTTGTTGTTCATTGGTTACCTTTACTTAAGCTAATTTCTATTTTTTGTGATTTTTTTTAAATATAAGATAAAAAAATAAAAGGTCTTTCGATGAATTATAATTAATAATTAATATTTAGAAAACTTTGTTTGGTTTTCCATATTTTCTTTAAATCTGGTTTGTACAATTCTATAAGCCATTCAAACAAAAACGACAATAAAATTATTTTTAAGAAATTTAAACCCATCTTGTTTAGTTTATTTTTAAATCATCCTGATCAGTTGAACACCCTGTATGACAAGTTAACTTTAGTTGTTATATGTAGGTCCTAGTAAATCAAAAATCCATATTAAATGAACTCCAGTAGGAATAGGGTATAGATTTTTTGCTATTGACAAGTTTTCTTGTTCTTGTTTGTTACTGTACTTCTTCTCAATTGAAGTGCTAACTGAAATATTACAAATCCTTTTATATTAGTTACTTATCAAAAATCCATAAATACTAAACACTTTCTAACAATAAAATATTGCTTTTTGTAAAAAGTTATCTACTTGAAAAATAAAATCTTCAGAACATTTCCAAATCAGCATTTACAAGATTTCCAAGATAACAGAGTAATGAAAAATCAACGAATGTTGTATACAAAGAAAAAAAAATATGTTTATAAGTAAATATCATAAATTATCATATAGTTCTAGTGCTGCAAAATAAATTCAGAAATCTTTAAATTCTGTCAAATGAAACTTTTATTTTGCCATTATAATAAAATATCAGTAAAAACCAATTAACACCAAGGCTGTAAACTATTTAAGGTTAAAAATACAATTTATCAGGGAAAGTATTAAACAATATTTTATGGATAACAGATTTGTTCAAGTAAGAAACAACTTATCAAATACATATGTTAACATTATAGATACATACTTTCGGTTCTTGGTCAAAACTTCTCTTAGAAATCATTTATTTTTTGCTCTTTGGCGCCTCAGAGAGCTTATAAAATTATTTACCAATAATTTATAACACACTGAGTAGTTCTCGTAAAGTAAAGAAAATCAATGTATACAAGAAGTAAATATAAGTGAATGAAAACTTACCAACCCCTGTATTTCAAATTATCTACAACCTACACATACATTTGTAAAAACAATACACATTTGTAAAAAAGTATAAAGAATATAAGAATATTAGATATTATTTAATTACTAAACATTTAACTCTGTTCCAGCTCGAGGCAAGAAGAGTGTACCAATGTTTGGAGTCTATAAGTGTACCAACATCAACAAAAGTCTTCCTTAATAATTAGAAATAATATAAATATTGTTAACTTTGTTTACTTTCTACGGGGGGGGGGGGGGGGGGGGACGGGGGGTTCCTGGGACCCCCCCCATGGGTTTTTTTGAGTTAACTCAAAAAGTATTGATCTGAGGCTTTTCAAATGTTTTAGCTTTCCTATCTAATACATATACCTCACTCTAGGCTCAAAGCGGGACTTTTACACCTGCTATATGGTAAAGTAAAATTTTCTTAACTTCCCTTTAAACTAGTGAACGATTAGAATGCCCTTCCTCATTATTTGGTTTTGTAAAAAATTAGAACAATTTGAACGCCAAGAATTCTGTGAGTGTGATTTAGTTAAGACTTTATTGAAGTTTAAATGACAACCATTAACTGTTCTTTGCAGTCCAATATATAGAAGGCTTTTATGCATGCAATATTTAACAATTGTTTATTTTGATATTCAAAATCAATGAATATGAATACTCCCTTAATTTTGTTTACAGTTATTTACCTGATTTTACATTGACACACATGCAAAATAACTTTTAATACTTAGTTCTAAAGTCCAAAAGTTTTGGTTCATTGTATTTTACAGAGATAAGGTATTTCTAATAACAAATTTCCTCTGTTCAAAATATTAGAAAATATTTTGATAATTTTGCTGGGAATCTAGGTCACAGCCCTTTCCTTGAAGATATAAAAATTAAACATTTTTAAAATTGTTTAATGATTTATTAAATTCAATTAGAAAAATTACCTTCCATAAAATTCAATTAACCCTATCTCTACTCTATAAATCCCCCATGCTATTTCCTTATAATGAGATACTAACCAATAACATTTCCTACAATTTGGAAATTCCTTGGGTTCTACTCATAGAGAATAGAATATATAGAGAGGAATTAAAAGAATCTCTCGGTATGAATTTTGTCAGTCCCTTTCACCCTAAAAGGGAGTTCAAAGTGTACAAATCATGTAAATGTTCACAAATTATCTGCAGTAGAGTACATTAATACAGTATGTTCCCTAGACTATTCATTTCAATTTCAAAATTTTTAAAGCTGTTAAATAAACTTTATAATGAATTAGGTGAATAAAAAACATCATTTGATTTATGGTTATGACGGAAAATTATCGTTTGTAAAGTGGAAGGCATAGAGTCTATGTGAAATGATTATTGGTCAATTATGAAACCAGCCTATTTAATAATTTGGTTTTCTTTTAACAATAATTTTAGATTTTCTATAAATGATATTCCAGGACCCAACAGGTTATTTAGCATAAATTTGTGAAGTACACCTGCAGTATGGAAACAGTACAACAAAATGGCCGTTTTACACTTTTTTCTAGTAAATTCCTCTCTATACATTCTATTCTCTATGGTTTTACTTCAATATTGGTTAAAAAAAATTGCAAAAATCTGTATAACCATTGTGAAATACAGTTATTTAGCAATATAGATTTAATCTAAAATTATGCGTAAATTAGGTAAAATTAGACGCAGTATTGTATATGAATAAAAATCAATAAAGCAATGCACTGAGTTTCTCAAATATTCTACGAGTCGGTTTTTCTTATGATATATTTATATACAAAAGATGCAAAAAATACAAACTCTAAATCGAACGATACTTATACAAACTAAATATTATGAATCAAATCAGTTTCATCAAATAGGAGGATTCATCAAGGGAACCTAACAAATAGGGAGCTGGTCTTCAACTAACTCCTTTCCTTCGATTTTGCTCCATCCTAGGATCGCATTTAACCCTAGCTACCCCGGGGTTGTTCCGCCCCCTCCCCAACGCTTGGGTCTTCAAGATAACGGAAAATTCGGCGTCGCTTGGGTTATTTATAGAATCCAAATGCAAACTCAAATAAATCCGTTAGGATTCAAAATAGGACTCTAAAGTCCAACCGTAGGGTTAAAGATGGGGGGGGGGGAAGGGGGCATGATTCCCCTTGGTAGCTATGATCTCAGCGATCCAAAAAATCCTTGAATTGCTGATTGTAAAAGATCAACAAACTCGCCCACTGTTACAGCAGTATGTATAAAAGCCCAAATTTAATCCTAAAGTAAGGGGATGTTAACCTTAGAATTCACAAAATATTTAAGACTGAAAAAGGATAAATAAATAAAATATAATGTATAATGTAAAGGATAAACTCATAAATAGAGAAATCAAAAAAGGGCATCTGATCATTTAAAGGACAAATATAAATTCAAAGAAAAAATTTCATTTAGCTTTAATTTTCATTTTAATTCAATTTTTGGAAATAATAAATTAAGAATTTCGATGTAAACCTTATATGTTAGACCAAATAATCTGAGTTTGAAATATCGTCGGTTTACACCATCAGGTTCAAAGATATAGAGCTTAGCAAATTTGAGTTTGTGACAAAGAATTAAATCATTTTATGGTTCCATGATTTTAGATGGGGGGGGGGGTCTGAATCTATGTACCCCCCTTAAAAAAAGACCTTAGAGTATAGGTTGAAATGCATGTTCATACCCAATTTTTCAAGGCCAGCTGAATAAAAATAAGTTAGACCAATAACTTTAATAGTTGCTAGGGAAAAAAATAGAGCCCCCCCCCCAGCCAGTTTAGGGTAAAGAGTAAAAAAAAATGAATAGTGAAATGTACAAAAAAACTTCAATTTTTGCAATGTAATTTCGTCAAAAAAACTAATTTCCTGGCAGAGAACATCAGCTTGTCAAGTTGTCATTTTTGCAAAATATTATGGAACTAAGAGTGTAATTTTACATTTACATTAATGAAACTTTCTATGTGTTGGAATATGGAAAAGGGAATCCATAGCTATCTGTATTTGGTTCATAAATGAAATCTGTTGAGAATATAATCTTAAATACAAATTATCATAAATTTTAAGACAATTACCTTTCTTTCTAACAGCCTTACTTTCAAAATTGGCAACCAGCTGGCTATAGGCAACATTTATATGAATGTCTTGTTTTATTATATAGATAATTAAATTTTGTTAGTCTTGATTAAATTTTATTGAGACAATTTAACTTAAAACAAAAACTAATTTATAACCTTGGGTATTTAAAAAAAATATGGAAAAAATTGTTTGCGCAAAGTTAACGAATGAAATCCAATACAAACCAATATAAATTAATTCCAATGTAAAGATTAGTTAAATCAATAGAAATTGGGGCCAAACAAATTTTTCTTAAAATTTAATTATATATGCCAAACAGAAGTTAAAATTTGGAATTATTTAATTTAAAAAAAAGTTCTTATATTGAATTTTTGTAGAGTACCATCAATAGTTATTAGAATATCAAAGCAGATATATATATAAAAGACACTTTTTAAGAAGAAGGAATAATTGTGCAATCTACATAAGGTTGAATGAGTGTGACTAATAAGAAAGCAGGTGAAAAAAACTTTTCTGTGAAATGGAATATGATAAATGTTCAAACATAACCTGTTCTTTATTATTCCTATGGTTATAAATTGACTTGAACCAAATAAACCCTCTTCAATTGAATCTAAAATAATAAATCTTTCCTTGATTATTGATTTTCTTTTCATTTAAAATTTGCAACACTTTTATAAGTATAAATATTTTTTACACAGCTTATGTTGTTCAGTTATTTTAATGTGTATAGATAGGAAACAAATAAAAACACAGCATTTAAAGAAATTTTTTCATACTAACTATAAATTAAGTCGCTTTGGATTTTTTAATTTGAAATTTTTTAATATTG